CATCATTCTCTATTAGAGATGTCTTATGTGGTGCTTGAAGATTTGTGGCATGTCTTTGATAAGGGTCTGTAGTGGTGGTGTTCCAGTTACCTCAGGTCCAGTGAGATTTTGTGCAGTGGTGATGGTGCTACATAGTCTTCCCGGCTGGTTGAAGAGGGGGGGGGGCGGTAGAGCGACGGTCTCGCATCATGCAGATCGGCGTTCAATCCCCAACCGTCCAAGTGGTTGGGCACCATTCCTTCCCCCTGTCCCATCCCAAATACTTATCCTGATCCCTTCCCAGTGCTATATAGTCATAATGACTTGACGCTTTCTCCTGATAGTTTCCGTCCCTTCCCTCCAGGGGGGGACGAATTTTTAATCTCTTGAGCCCAAATTGTCTCAGATTTTGTTGCTTCCTGGGGGTGGAGGCCTGGTCAAGGACCGGGCCGCGGGGACACTAAAAACAAAGCCCCGAAAGCATCTCAAGATAACCTCCTCACCCACCCCCTTTCTGCCTAGTGATTACCTCTCATTGGCTGAGAGCTAATCACTCAGGCCTTCCACTTGATCGGTTGAGACTCTCAGAGGTCACCTCTCCTACTACCAACCTGTTAAACCTTCTGGGGATCAGTGGCCCAGGGGCCCGGTCTCTGGCCAGGCCTCCGGCATGGTTTAAAATTAATAATTTAATTAATTTTGCCCCGAGGGGCGAGTTTATTAGGCAACGCCACTCATCCTGTGAGTAGACACACCGCTATAGCAGCATGTACAACACTCCCCAATAGGAAGAAAACCCGCTGGGTTGTTGTGAATATACATCAGCAATCTACTCACAATTTTCGTTAGTGTGGCTTAATTCACACACGGTTTCAGACACACGTGATGGCTTTTAGGAACTGGCTAACAATGTTCTATAAGGTAAACCATTTACATGTCTGGTAAATTACCTAAGTTTTAATTGACCTCAAATTTGTGTCACGATTACAAGGGATATAAAGGTCTAATTACAAGGCACAATGAAATGACAAGAACGCGATGTATCTCTGAATGGTTCAGTGGGTGGCGCGTGTGGCTGGGGAGTCCAAAGGGTGAGAGTTCGAGCCCGTTGCATAGCTTCAGTACTTTGCTCATCTAATGGCGGTACTGTAGTTAACGTTACGGTACATAATAATAATAATAATAATAATAATAATAATAATAATAATAATAATAATAATAATAATAATAATAATAATAATAGGTTATCTTTTTGGGGGCTTAGCGTCCCCGCGGCCCGGTCCTCGACCAGGCCTACTTTTTCTTACACATCCCCAGGAAGCAGCCCGTAGCAGCTGTCTAACTCCCAGGTACCTATTTACTGCTAGGTAAACAGGGTGAACAGGTGCATCAGGGTGAAAGAAACCGGGATCGAACCCGAAACCTTAGGACTACGAATCCCGAGCTCTGTCCACTCAGCTGTGAGGCCCCAAGTAGCAGACGGCGGTGAGGGAGAGGGCGCTTAACTGTAGTCTGTAAACAAGAGCTCAGGAACCCTCTGCCCTCTACGTGTAGGGATAAACATGTAAACAAAAGTAATTATCACAAGATAGCGCTAAGCCCAGCATGACTATAGCAAGCCGGTCGGCCGAGCGGACAGCACGCTGGACTTGTGATCCTGTGGTCCCGGGTGCGATCCCAGGCGCCGGCGAGAAACAATGGGCAGAGTTTCTTTCACCCTATGTCCCTGTTACCTAGCAGTAAAATAGGTACCTGGGTGTTAGTCAGCTGTCACGGGCTGCTTCCTGGGGGTGGAGGCCTGGTCGAGGACCGGGCCGCGGGGACACTAAAGCCCCGAAATCATCTCAAGATAACCTCAAGATAGCAAAGGTACTATTGGACTACTGTAGTACAGTCGGGTGCGTTCTCGACTCAATCGAAATTCTGGGTTCGAATCCCGGGCAGGGAAGGCCTGGTCGGAGACCGGGCCGCAGGGCCGTTGATTCCCGGAAGTTTCACAAGGGAGGCAGGCCAGAAATGGTTGGGCGCGTTTCCTATCACGTAATGCCCCTGTCCACCTAGCAGTGAATAGGTACCCAGAAGTTAACTCAGCTTATTGTGGTGTTGCATCTTGGGGTGACCTTGATATAAGGGTTAATTTTAATAAGTCTTTAACAATATTGACGCATAGGTGATACTTATAATAGATACCTAAAAAGATTATAAAAACACCGACTTAAACTTGTTAGTATATACTGTAATTAGTATAGGTTCGACGTTGGGGTGACAGTGTTTTCTCGATATAAGCCTAACATTTATTCGAGAACGGGTATATATAAACTGGCTGCCTGTCCCCCGACACAACACTTAAAGTTATTAAAAAGACGACTCCATCATGAGCAATACGGCCCTAGTTTTTTCTTTCACTCAGGTAACAAATTCCATCCCCCAGATTAAAGATAATATAGATAGCCTACATAAATCTCGCAGGTAGAAATTCTTTCGTTCTTGTTACCAGGGTTCAGGTAGCTCTGGTGGCCTTGGGGATGGTGGAGGGAAGGACGCCTTGTGTAGGGCTTTTGACTGTTGCCGCCGAAGGCCGCTAGTTTATTGTGCACCCCATACTCATCCTGTGAGCGGTAGCGCAAAAGCATTACAGAGGGCACAAAAGGTCTTACTCCCAACCATCCCCTACTCCCTCAGGAACATCCCTTACCTCCCATCATTCCTCACTTCCCATTGTTGCTCTACTGTTTTGGCTCATGGGGGTCCCCGCCTGACCTTCCCCAAGATGCAACCAACAGCAATTATATATATTTAACTCATAAGGTCAATTAAATTTGAGATAATACAAATACATGCTAAAAGGCGTAGTTTAGGCTATTTCTACCTCTTCTATTACAGGTCTCTGAATTATAATAAGATCACACTGCTATGGGTGAATATAGGCTTTGGGTAAAAGGAAATTTGGCCAAAACTCTCAGTGGACCTTTTCGGTTATGAACCGACTTTTTTTTTTATTTAATTTATTTATTATGCACCCTATACCCATCCCGTGGGCTGTGGTGGAAAGGGTTACAGAGGCACAGAATCAGTTCAGGAACTGAACCCCATCATAGTTCGTTTGATGTTTGGTGGTGGCTTTATTACCAACCCTGGCTTTCAATAACGCGTACATGACAGGAGGCACTCCACATGCAGCTGGGTATCCCTATCTAATATATAAGCCATTCATGTTGGCCCATATTAGTTTAATAATGTAGGACAACCGCGCGCCCCCGAACCTAACCTCAGTAGTGTATTAGATTATATAAATTGTATTTTTTTCTAAGATTAATATTTTTGAGAATTACTCCACCAGCCATATCTCCCTTCCCTCCACCAGCCATATCTCCCTTCCCTCCACCAGCCATATCTCCCTTCCCTCCACCAGCCATATCTCCCTTCCCTCCACCAGCCATATCTCCCTTCCCTCCACCAGCCATATCTCCCTTCCCTCCACCACTCATATCTCCCTTCCCTCCACCAGCCATATCTCCCTTCCCTCCACCAGCCATATCTCCCTTCCCTCCACCAGCCATATCTCCCTCCACCAGCCATCCCTTCCACCAGCCATATCTCCCTTCCCTCCACCAGCCATATCTCCCTTCCCTCCACCAGCCATATCTCCCTTCCCTCCACCAGCCATATCTCCCTTCCCTCCACCAGCCATATCTCCCTTCCCTCCACCAGCCATATCTCCCTTCCCTTTACCAGCCATATCTCCCTTCCCTCCACCAGCCATATCTCCCTTCCCTCCACCAGCCATATCTCCCTTCCCTCCACCAGCCATATCTCCCTTCCCTCCACCAGCCATATCTCCCTTCCCTCCACCAGCCATATCTCCCTTCCCTCCACCAGCCATATCTCCCTTCCCTCCACCACTCATATTTCCCCTGCCCATTTCCCCCCCCCCCCCATCTCTTCCTTCCATCCACCCCCCATCTCCACGCCTCTTAATTATACAAAGGCGCGATGCGCCTGCGGCCAAAAACAACAGGGGCAGGACCCAGCAGGAGGGTGGCCAGCTGACCCACAATCATGGGGATGATGGGGAGGTGGGGTAACCGGTTTATGGAGCGAAGAATTCCTGTTATTCCTCCCCCTCCCTCCACTCCCCCACTAGAGTACTTACGCTATCAGGGTCAAGTTCACGGTTGGGGATCGCGATATCGATGGACATTGTTGGCAAAAATAAGCCGCTAACTATTATATATTAAATAACTATTATAATGTATAATTCATATTTTCATATCATACCTTTAATTCATATATTCATATCATCTAGGTAAAGTCCTGGTAGTACAGTCGGGTTCGTTCTCTGCCCACAATCGAGAATTCTGGGTTCGAATCCTGGGTAGGACTGAAATGGTTGGGTGTGTTTCCTACCACCTCATGCCCCTATTCACCAAGCAGTAAATAGGTATCCAGGAGTTAGTCATATTGTAGGGTTGCATCCTGGGGAGGGTCTCATATATGCCTAACTTGTACTAATAATTGTATTGTTCAGTGTTGGGGGACAAGAAGCCAGAGTATATTCATACACGTTTGGCTTTTATCGAGGTCCCCCCCCTCCCCCCAGGGTCGAATTACTGACCCCGCCCAGGAAGCATCCCCACAAGCTGACTAACCCCTGGGTACCTACTCACTGCTTGGTGATCAAGATCAATAGGTGAAAGGAAATGTGCCCAACCATTTTTGTTTCGGGATTCGAACCAGAAATTCTCGATTGTACGTTGAGAACGAACCCAACTGTATTACCGGGATCCATATCTTCATTCCCTCCGGCTCTTGACCTAGTTAGCCCTTTAAGCCCTCACGTCACCTTTTCTCTGTCCCTCTTTCATCCCTTCCTCTTTGCTCCTATCTCTTCTCCCCCCCCCCCACCTAGCCCTTACCTGCTCACCATAATTAGATTCCTGCTCCGGTTCTCCTGTCTTCATAGAGAGGACCCAGCATTCTGATAACCTTCCTTCAACTTAATTTCCTATCTTCATCCGCAGGTCTGCTGGTGCTGACGACAAAGCGGCAAGGTGGCGATGCCCACAAGAGGTTTCTCAGATCAGCCAATGTTTATGGATACAAAGTCAAGGTAAGTTCAGATCAAGAAAAGTTAAGCCAAGCAGGTAGGTAAGGCTTAGAAAGGCACAAATATAGTTGATTATATGTTATGCATGCAAGGTTAAGTAAAGACAGTTCATGCAAATAAGGTCAAATAAGAAAACCCACAGGATGAGGTCTTTTCATTTAAGGATTACAACTTGCAGTTCAGTTTGATTTTCATATCAAGGTAATTAAGGCTATAAACTGTTATCTACATTTAAGCAATCTTCTGTGGTTCAGTTTAAAAAATAATTGAGAATTAAGTTGTTCTGTACACGTATAGTACTTGGTTCACTGCCTGTATCGTATTTCATATTTGACAAGAATTATATTGTACTTTATAGTTCATATACTGTATGGTATTTATTAGAAATTGAGCATTACTGTAGGTTCCTCCATGACAGGTCTTGGATGAGGGGCAGGAGTCTGAATTTAACGATAAGCGACACCTTGAATTACTGAAGGCTGAGTTTGAAGCCCTTGGTGAAGATGACAAGAAGATTGTCCTCTACACAGAAAGGTTAGAATACTGCATCTGTAAATTACTGTTAAGAACTGATACAATAATAAAACAATTTTTTTTTATCATAGCACAGTTATTTGTCCAGTAAATAGACTTCATTCATGGAAATCTATTTATTTATTTAGTTATTTATATACTTACAAGAAGGCACATTGGGTTATGAAAGGAAAGGAATTATCAGGGGAAAGCGCCAAGCTGTTACGACTATATAGTACTGGGAAGAGGTCAGGATAAGGATTTGGGATGGGACGGGGGAAGGAATGGTACTCAGCCAATTGGACGGTCGGGGATTGAACGCCGACCTGCATGAAGCGAAACCGTCGCTCTACCACCCAGTCCAAGTGGTTACATTGGGTTACACTCACTCAATCACTCACTCACTCTAATTCACTCTCTCACTCTAATTCACTCTCACGAACAAAATAAGTATATGGAGCCCCACTTGGCAAATGGAATTTAATGTGAATAAATGGCATGTTATGGATTGTGGAATATTAGAACATAGACCTCACACAACCTATAAATTATGGGAGAAATCTTTAAAGATTTCTGATAAAGAGAGAGATCTAGGAGTGGTTCTAGACAGAAAATTTTCACCTGAGGACCACATTAAGAACATTGTGGGAGGAGCCTATGCTATACTTTCTAACCTCAGAATTGCTTTTAAATACATGCATGGAGAAATACTAAAGAAATTGTTCACGACTTTTGGTAGACCAAAGCTGGAATATGCAACAGTTGTATGGTGCCCATATCTTAAGAAACACATCAACAAACTGGAAAAGGTGCAAAGACATGCCACTAAGTGGCTCCCAGAACTGAAGGACAGGAGCTACGAGGTTAGAGGCATTAAATATGTCAAAGCTAGAAGTTAGAAGAAAAAGAGGCGATATGATCACTACGTACAAAAAGGTAACAGGAATCGATAAAATTGATAGGGAAGAATTCCTGAGACCTGGAACTAAAAGAACAAGAAGTCATAGATTTTTTTTTTTAAACTAACGAAACAAAGCTGCTGGGGAAATATAAGAAAATTCACTCTTGTAAACAGAGTGGTAGACAGTTGGAACAAGTTAGGTGAGAAGGTGGTGGAGGCCAAAACCGTCAGTAATTTCAAAATGTTGTATGACAAAAGAGTGCTGGGAAGACAGGACACCACAAGTGTAGCTCTCATCCTGTAACTACACTTAGGTAATTACACACACACACACACACAGAGCAGCCCATAGCAGCTGTGTAACTCTCAGGTACCTATTTACTGCTAAGTGAACAGATGCATCAGGGTGAAAGAAACTGCCCATTTGTTTCCACCTTCGCCGGGGATCGATCCCCAGACCCTAGGACTACGAATCTCAAGCGCTGTCCACTCAGCCGTCAGCCCCCCCATGTGTGTGAGTGGCTTTGTAAGAATGTAATGCTTAAACACCAATGTTCTGCTGGCTTCCTGTCCTTATCCCCTTGTCCACAATCCAAGGGCCACTAGTGTTAGTGGCCCTTGGGTAAATTCATGTAAAAGTCTATCAAGGAACAATTTCAGATCAGGATTAGCATTCAGCAATAAGGTTTTGTACATGTAACTAGCACAAGAGGATGTGTGGAGTGAGGGTATGTTTAGCATGTTTAGGGATTTAAACAGAGGGCTGTGTGTTGTCTAAAGACTGAATTTGTTATAGGTCTGAAAGCAGATTTTTGCTGGGTGACAATGGCTTGAGGTGATCTGCAGTTGTTGAACCCCATACACAGATACTGCACGTTAGATAGGAATAGATTAGCAAGTAATACTGTATAGTAAAAGGAGAGCAGAGTAGGGTTGTAACGTACGGTTATGTTACGTTGTTGGGTAGATTAGATACTGTATACAGTTTTTAGTGAGTTTCATATTTATTTAGTAGCCCTGGATACAGCAGTGCTGTCTACGTTGAGACGGAGCTTGGAGCAGAGCAGAGAGCTGAGTGTGGCCGGAGTCGCGGAGCTCTATGTAGGAGAGCATTGTAGCTCGATGCGGTCCTAGTCTGTTGCCTGTTCTGTGTCGAAGCTGTAGCATCTTGTAGACGATTAGAACTGCCTATGCCAAGTGCTACATTCTTGACTGGAAATTGTACTGTTTGCTATTCCTCATATCACTTGCTTATATGGTGATTACACCTCAACTCCCTCCAACAAGATGAGAAGAGTATTACCTGTAATTGGGGAAAGGAGTGTAGCTTCTGTAATTAGTGCTAATTAGTTATGCTATTAAGATAATGAGATAATGGAGCGAGTATAAGATTTACTCGCTACAATGCTGATAGTTATTCGCTGGTATGTGTTCGCTACTTGAACTGCTGTGTACTTATGTATGTATCCAGAGATTAGTTAAGAGTAAAACTATGTTTTTTTTTTCCAAATTACAGGCAATACTCTTCTCATCTTGTTGGTCACTCCAGGGTCACCAATGTAACTGTTCTATTGTTATGTAAAGTATGGTGACAATAAACACAAACACTAAGATAATATATATATTTGGTCGAATATACAGAAGTACGCAGGTGATACTTTGGCGAGCAATGGTGCGAGTTGAGCGCACTGAGCATCGGTATAGTATCTCGCAAGTGTCTGTTCTAGACCACACTTGAAAGTAGACTAGTTATTATTCTCCACTCTGCTGCTTATATGCTCGAGCAACAGCTTACCGTTCTCCAGAGGTTGACAGGAATAGTATGTGGAAGTTGGGAAAGGTTTGAGTTCCATAATTAATACCAAGAAGAGCTTTGCTTCTCTCATTAGGCTAATTCGTTTGGAGCGAGTATATTATTGGGATAATCTACTCACTACAGGGTACATAATATCTGATTTTAGAGAGTATCCCAACAGCTTTTGAGATGTTCTTGGCTGTGTGTTGTATGTGGGTACAGTACTGAGGTTTAGTCTCTTGTCTATGTATAGGTCAAGGAACTTTTCATAATTTTTCTACATCTATAAATCATCATCTACAAATCTTATCTAGACAGATGAGGTCAGGATAGGTAAAAAATATTATTGGCTTTAAATAATCCTTAGAAATAATTGGGAGACTTGACAAATGGCCGGATATTTATCTCCTTAATGACCACAAGAGATGCTGGGCCTCTGGTAAATTTAGTAGGTTCTTCTTATTTGCCCCTACCTCAAGCTGGCATGTAAAAGTGTTGATTTGCAACGTGTGATATTGCAGTCTTTTGTTAGGCATCTTACAACACAGATTCTGTAAAAGAAAATAGTGACTAATGTTCCTTTGCAAATACGGTTACATGTACATCACTGGCCGAGCATCTGTCTTTGTGTTTGATAAAAGGCCACTTTAAGAGAACAGCATTCATTGGGAATTGAGCACGTTGGGGTGGAGCATCATTGCCAGTGTAGTGTGATTTGACTGCCTGTTTGCTTTTCAATTGTTTTGGCTTCAAATTCTCTTCTATCAAGTGAGCAAGTTAGGGTCTTGCTCAAAGTCAAGTAAAACAATGATGATGGTTATCTTGTGTACTGGTTATGTATGCTTGTTTAATTATTGCTAAGATCATCTAATATATTTTTATAATTTTGTATCAGACTTTGCTGGTTAGATGAGACCTAAAGTAAAATTCACTGAATGGGGGACATTATTTCTCCAATCTTTGGCATTTTTTGTCAACTTTGACATTTTCTTCATCAGTCTCTCACTTAATCCCATTTTTTCAATATTGAACAGTCATTACATTCCCTCTATTAATCTTCCATGAATCTATTAACATTTTGTTTCCCTGTGCAGTGAGGATGCCTTATTTTCTGCTGGGCCTGTTCGGGTTGTGGAAGAATTTGAAAGTTCTGGTGCTGACATCTTAATCTCCGCTGATGGGTTCTGCTGGCCGGACCAAACCCTGGAGAGCAGCTTCCCAAGGGTGGAGCGTGGCAAGAGGTTTCTCAACTCTGGAGGTCAGTATTTGTTGTTTTTCCTTGCTGGTGTCATGTTACTAAAATATTACGCTACCTATCACAGTTGTCTATAGTACTCTCCCCCCTTCCATGCTTATATTATGCTCCCTATCACGGTTGTCTATAGTACTCTTTCCCCTCCCATGCTCAGAGCTCCCCATGATTGCAACTCCCATGTATCTTGACCTTTCAGTATCTTGGTTGCTTCTTTACAATCTCAACATCTGCCAGTATTTATACAGTACAGCTGCTAGATGGGCTGAGTTATGCACTTTCCTGGGACACTCCAGTTGATTTCCACTAACATAAGCAAGTGTTGTGCATACATCACTGAATGTGAATTGGAAAGTAATTATGTACACTAGAAAAAACAAATAAACACTAGATACTATATGTGATAAGTGATTACTGTACTGTATGTGAGAGCATAAGGCAGATTAGAACACTATTCTGTTAAGGACACTGAGTAAAGTTATACAGTATTCTATAGTATTACACTACAGTACATAAAGCCCTTCACTTTCAAATACTGTAGTGTTACTAAATACTCTGTCATAAATACTTTAATTATTTGATCTTTTATGGTTTCCTTATTTATATTTTCAATTCATTTAATCTTATTTCAGTAAGGCCAGTATTGAATGTAATGAAATGCCTGTTTCTGTAGAGCACCAGTAGCTCTCTGATGCCTCAGGGAGCCACTGTGGGGTTTCCCCAGAGAAGCTAAAGTACTAAACAGTACTAAACTAAAGTACAGTACAGGTACTAAATTCTTATGCATAAAAAATCTGCACATCTGAACAGGCCTCCAGTCTCTGTAAAGTAAGCACAATCCCAAAACTCCTCCCATATTATTAAAGTTTCTACCTTGTTGCTACAGTTTTATCACAGCACTGTACTGCAGATCTTATGGACTGATGTTAATTTATGCGGTGTGTTTTTAGGTTTTGTGGGTCGTGCAAAAACCATACACAAGCTGCTGTCAGAGGCCCCGGAAGAGGCCTCACTACAGCTTTTATTGACCCATATCTATGTGAAAGATGCCACCAGGAACAAGTACAACATCAAGCTGGATCACCTTTCTACACTCTTCCAGAACCTCAATGGTGCCACCGGTAGGCCTGTGTGAGAGAGGTGCTCTCTCATTGTTTAAATATTAATTACTTTAAAATCTTAAATTACTGTACCTTATGAATACTAAACAGTGCTAGTATTTTATGGTATCATGTTGATTTTTATAAATCAGTCAAAATCTTAGGAAATTATCTACAGTACAATGAATATTACCGTTAATTCCTGATATGGTACCATAATGACTTGAATGACTTTTTGTGTAATGTAGTTTACCATTTGACAAACCTCCTTTCCCCCTTCCCCCCAAAAGGAAAATCCTGCAAATGGGCAAAAGCCAGGTACTTCTTTCAGCTTCTCTGAAACTACTTTTTCTTCCAACCTATCCATGTCCAGCCACTTGGGGGTGGATGGTAGAGCGACAGTCTCACTTCATGCAGGTCGGTGTTCAATCCCCGACCGTCTGAGTGGTTGGGCACCATTCCTTCCCTCCGTCCCATCCCAAATCCTTATCCTGACCCATTCCAAATACTGTACTATATAGTCGTAATGGCTTGGCACTTTCCCCTGATAATTCACCCCCTCTCTCCAACCCCCTCCATTGTTGCCCCTTCCCCCCCTTACCTGCCCCTCGGTCGTTTCCCCTCCCTCTCCCATCTCCCCAACGTGTTTTTTTATAACTATCCTTGTGCTTAAATAAATATTCCAACCCATCCTCCTGTTTAGATAGTATTTTTTGTAACTATGTGCACCACCATAGTACAAACATTGATGTACAGGGTACTAAGCAATTAGATAGTAGAACTTTGTACTTTTCGCTTTATAGAGTCTCTCAAAAATGAAGCTAAAAATAAACTTAAAATTCCTAGGCCTAGTATAGAACACATAGTAGTAGTAGGCATGCTGCAGTCTTGAGAGACTATGGAGGTGTGCTCTGGTTGTCAAGTGTCCTCTCCAGGGTGCAAAGTTTGGGTAGGTCGATGTGGAGGAGAAGCTGTTACCCCATGCAGCAGGTCCCACCCTCTCCACATTGCTGAAGTTATCCAGTGGAAAAGCAAACGTCAAAACTGTACGCTTGGTTCCAGCGCAGTCGCAGGAGCTGCCAGAACGAGGTTGAAGTCAACAACGAACTGCCTTAGGGGCTCCAGCTTTGGATTTTTCCTCGAGGTTCACTCCTGAACCCCATCCCAAAAGTGGGTATGGCCGTGAGGCAGCGGAGGTTTGAAGTCAGGGTTTCCCTTTCCCTAGATGAGCTGCCTTCCTAGGCTGTCAAGTTCCATCTTTCTGGAGCAGCTGGTTGTAAGGTGCCAAAGGCACGAGCTTATGCACGAGGATGAGGACCCGAAGGGCCACTCCCAGTACCATTCCTGCAGCAGGCCGGCAGCTCCGCTGAGGGCCCCGCAGAACCTCGCAGAGGAGGACCAGGAGTCCACCGGGGACCACCACACACCACAACACACAACTCAAATTCAGTATTACAACAATTCTACTTTGTGTCGTAGCAAGGAAAAAAATTAATGAATGCTACATATGAACTATATTAGGCCTCAGATAGCTTGTATTAGATCTAGAACGGTTAGGTTAGGTTAGGTTAGTTTAATTTGTTTTTGCAACACATGTAGAAAATAATTTTCCAGTTTGTCCAAATTCAATAGTACCAATTTCTACTTTCTAATTGCGTTGTACGTTGGTATATGTACTATGGTCCTCATCCTTCCTATTACTACCAAAACAGGAGGATGGGCTGTTTTCTTCTATAATTGCTTTAAGTTTCTCCCAGTTTGAAACGCAACAGTGCGAAAAAACAGAACTCCTCCTTTTTATATTATGCTGAGGCTATGATGCTTTCCTCTGGCAGGTGATGTAGAGCTAAGGTTTGCAGGCAAGGAAGCCTATTTACAAAACACCCTGTACAACACGGTGCCTGTGGTGGTGCGAGGTAATGAACGCACCAACCTTGTTCTTCACACATTGGGATCCTACCTTGCTCGCTCCTGGAATCCTGAGGATGGGTGCAGGTAAAGCATAGCTACTAAAATCAAAATGGTTTATACAGCTCTAAGCAGCCATGCTTAAAGACATTTTTGATATCTAATAGATCATTTATATGATACTGTATTTGAATAAAAAAAAAATAATAATAATAATAATAGTAATAAAAATAATAATATCACTTGCTATGTGCAAAATCAAGACAGGTAAAATAATAATTATGTAATTTATTATACAGTGTGTATTTTAACTTTGTGGAATAGAGCATATTTGAATTTAGTACACAGTAATATTCTTCATCTGTCTCTGTTTTAAAATTTTTATAAACTTTTTGCATTAAGCTCATTTTAAAACAGTATGCCCTAATATATACCATTTTACATATACACACATTTTGTATGTATGTATATACTGTAGTACATACCGTTTATTGTTTTTTATTCTGGTCTGACATGACAGGTCATGCTGGGATGACATGATGAGTCTGGATGAGATGAAAGAGGAGGAGCTCCCGAAGGTGACGATGGCAATCTTTGTGGAAAAGCCCACACCATTCCTGGAGGAGTTTTTGATCAAAATTAACAACTTGCTGTATCCTTCGTCTAAAATTGACCTCTTTGTCCACAATGCAGTAAGTTGGGTCTCCCTCCTCAATACTGTATAGTCATACAATATACTGCTCACTGATGTGTATTAAAAATTAACAAATTTAGTACAGTATTTTTTCAGTGATAATCACAAAAGAAATTGCCATTTACATTTTCAGTTTTGTACACTAAGAATGGTCTGTCTTGAGTTAATAAGAAAACTTCATATATCCTTGAATATATTGGAATAAATTCTGCACAGGTACTGTAATAATTTATTCTGATTATTATTATTTGTGATTTCTGTTATAGTATTTTATATTTGCAGTTTATTTTTTCTCATTCTCAAAGACTTCCTGTAACAGTTCTTTAGCACAAAAAAAAAAAAAATCTTTAGTCTTATGTGATTGTGTGGTGACCTACATGTATTAAAAATGTTATGGCTGATTGTATGGCTTCTTCTGCTGGATGCTGTAAGATAGTGTAGAACTCCATTTCACGATCTGATCTTTATCTGCATGCCAGAGAGAAATGTTCCAAGTTAACGATTATACACTAGAGATAATGGGTTATCCTCTGTCATGCTTCCTGTTGGCTGTACTGTATGTTGCTTACTCGTGTTATTACATACTCTATACAAATCTAACTAGGAGCTATTGTTTCTATAGATGAAGCACTGAATGACATGTTTGAGGATGTTGAAAGAGGCATTATTCTATTATAAGTGATGGTTTTACTTGAGGTAAAATGTCATCTGTAATATATTTCTAGCTTGACTTTAATTGATCTCATTGTATTTAAACATTTCGGTAGATCCTGCCTCTCAGGATCTACCCGATTTAACATTTTATCTAACATTCTTTAACATTTAACATTTTATCTAACATTCTTTCTAAGATCAGATATTATGTACCACGCCCTGCCCTGGTGACTCTCTATTACTCCCTTATCTATCCATATCTCAACTATGGTATTTGTGCTTGGGGCTCTACTACCCAAAATCACTTACGTCCTCTAATTACTCAACACAAAGCTGCTATTAGGACAATATCCAACTCTGGCCCCAGACATCACTCGGTACCCCTACTCAAATCTCTGAATATGTTAGACATTAAGTCACTGCACATTCTCTCATGTGTATTATACATATATAAAACGCTAAACTATAATGCCAATCCCGATCTCAAAAGCTTCATAGAAGGTTGTAACAGAACCCATGAGCACCACACCAGAAATAAATACAGTTTTGATATTCCTAGAGTACGACTTAATCAAACTAGAAATGCTCTACAAATCAAGGGGCCCAGAATGTGGAATGACCTTCCCAACCATGTTAAAGACTGTACCTCTCTCAACCAGTTTAAGTTAAAAACGAAGCTATACCTAATAAATTCCCTGTAACCTACCTTACCCTTCTATTGTCAACCAATGTCTGTTTTTTTTTTAAAGAGCGCTGTTTGTCGACATAATTGTATTTGTTCTGCTTTTTCATCTATGTTTTCATTTCTTGTTTTCATTCTACTCATTATGCTCAATTAGTATTAAGCTTGTCATTTAAGTTTATCATGCCCGAAACGCTTTGCGTAATAGTGGCTTTAGGCATTGTATGTACTAGCTCTACCTATAAGTCAACCAATCTTTGTAAAAATTTATTGTATGTATGTACCTTACCTAAATAAACATATTTTTTTTTTTTTTTTTTTTTTATATTTGTTTATGACTATATTAATTTTTTTGTTTTTATCAAGTATTTGACTACAGCCAAGTGAATTACAGTACTATTATTATTATTACCTCAACAGGTGGAGTACCATGAGGAGATGATGAGTGGGTTCATTGAGGCAGTGGGTGAGGAGTTTGCATCAATGAAGTATATAAAGCACGATGAAAACATCAAAGAATGGCATGCCCGGAATGCCGCCATGTAGGTTGCCAGTCTCTGTGTAGAAAGACATAATTGGTTTATGCATGACACTTTGCAACAATCACTGGGTTATATTAAATAAGAGCACATTGCCACTAGTACCATTGGATTAAAGATGAACAAATCCACAAGGGCTGTGACAAGGATTCGAACCTGCATCCGAGAGCATCCCAGACGCTGCCTTAATTGACTGAGCTACGACATGGTCAAAACATTTTTGACCATTTTTGAGCATTAAAGATATTCAAGTGATAAGGAAGACACATTTATCCAGAGCAATAAATTGGAGCATTCAAAATCTGAACTTGTAATTAACTGGAAACTATTACAATTTACAACAGTTAAAATTACTAAAGTTTTCTGATACAGTATCTGGAGAAACTCTCAAAATCTAGTACAGATAAATTTAGCTCTTAATGATACTACTGTACTTTGCTTTAACATTTATTTGTATACAGTATTTGTTATTTTGGCTATAAATTGTTTAAACAAAAACTATATCATATACAGAATATAGGTAAAGTTACACAATGTTACACTCGCATTTTGGTATCACCATCCTAAAATAAGAACAAACATAAATCTGTTAATTGCTTTCTCATAATCGTTTTTGGATTTTCAATGTTCCACTGTATACAGTATTTAGTTTTATGATTCTTATTTTTATTTTTTGAAAACATTTTTCATATTTTTGCCCTGAAAAAATATTTTACTCAGAGCAAGGGTCCTGGTAGTAGTCGGGTTCTTTCTCAACGTACAATTGAGAATTCCGGGTTCAAATCCCGGGCGGGACAGAGAAATGGTTGGGCACATTTCCTTTCACTTAATGGTCCTGTTCACCTAGCAGGAAGTAGGTACTCAGGAGTTAGTCAGCTTGTTGTGGGGTTGCATCCTGGACAGGGTCGGTGATTCAACCTGGGGGGGTGGGGACCTCAGTGTAAGCCTAATGTGTATGAATACACTCTGGCTTCATGTTCCCCGACACGATGAATTAATATTATTATTTTTGAATATATCCTGGGCTTGCCTACTATTGATTTTTAATCGTACATTTTATTGCCATTAAGGTTGCTCTTAATCCCTATTTCAATTTCAGTGACTACTGCATAGAGCACGACTGCCAGTTTCTTTTCGTCATTGACTCTGTGGCTCAGTTAAACAATCCATTTATCCTCAAGCTGCTTATTGAGCAGAACAGGTAAATTAAATCACAATGTGTAAGAGATTGAGAAGAGATGGGACAAAGCAAGGAAGGAAGAGTATATAAATTTCACGTGATATGAACTCATTATCTCAAAATATCTTTTTCAATTTTTTAGTTGTATTTACTTAGACTTTGATCCCTCAATCAATAGTTTTCATGGAACTTATTTCCACACTCCTGTTATTTTATAGCTTCTTCTCCAGTGTTCCATTCTTTGCTATACTTAAATTAATTATACCTTGAAAAGTGCATATCACTTTAAGTACAGTAGGTCAATCAACAGTGCACATATCTATAGATATTTTAGGTACTTTTCTCCAGGACGTATTTAGGTACGACCTTCAGTAAACATCTCCCATCGGGATAAGTCACATGATGTTTTGGACATTTTCCAATGCTCAGGGTATTGTTTTTAACAATATAGGAAGATAAGAAACTTGTTTTGATGGTTCCCCTAGATTGGAAATATGCAAATGTCACCCCTATTTTCAAAAAAGGCAGAAAGAGCTCGGCAGAAAACTGCCATTCTCAGCTTGACTGGAGAGAATCCTAAGTTAGGGAATCAGGTTCACAGTGAACAATCTACTAAAATCAAAACATCCACCCCAGACCAAAAGAGTAAATGCCTCTGTGCCGGAGAGCATGAAGTTCCCCGACCCGACCCCCAGAAGCCACAGCCAACAAGAACAAAGCTTTCTGAAAACAATCCACCACAAACTGAGGAGAAGAAAGGAGAGCACCCGGTCCAAAGGCTCAGGCGGTGCATGAACAGGCCGGAAGTGGCTTCTGGGGGTCGGGTCAGGGAGCTTCATGCTCTCCTCTGGCGCAGAGGCATTTACTCTTTTTGGTCCGGGGTGGATGATCCTGAGCCCAGTTCCAGAGTGGGACAGAAATGGTTGAGCATTTTTCCTTTCCTCTAATACTTCTGTTCACCTAGTAGTAAATAGGTACTTGTGAGTTAGGAAACTGTTGTGGAGTTGCATCCTGGGGAATGTCAGTAGTTTGACCTGGGGAAGGTCAGTAGTTTGACCTCGGAGAATCTTGATATACAGTATGCCTAAAATATATACATACATACATGGGTTTCCTGTCCCCGACAAAACTAATTACAGGATATTTTGTGAATTTTTGTTGTTTTCTACTAATATCCATTTTGTGAAATAAATGTAAAACACCATAAGCATATTTAGCTTTTCAATTTTTTTTGTTTTGTTTTTGTTTACAGAGAGGTGGTGGCACCTATGATGATTCGTCCCTACAAGGCATGGAGCAACTTTTGGGGAGCCATTACCAATGATGGATTTTATGCTCGCTCTATGGACTATATGGAAATTGTACAAAACAAGAGAAGGTAAAAACACTGTAGAAATGTCAGTTCTATGCCCTGCATGGCACATGGCATGGTTCTGCCCGAAACGCTGCGCGTACTAGTGGCTTTACAAGATTGTAAATACTATGCTATGTATTCTCACAAACCCAATGTACCTTCTTGTATATAAATAAACATATAAATAAATAAAAATAGGAAACAAATCTTCACTAAAGGAAGTTTGAAGTCGTGAATGTAGCAGAGGCAGTGAAGAGTGTGAAGAAGTCTTACAGATCAAGTTCTGTTCTGACTGTAGTTGTGTTTTGTCCCATGTACAGGTAGCTGTGTTCTGTCTGTAGTGGTTGTTTTGTCTGTAGTAGTTGTGTTCTGTCTGTAGTGGTTGTTTTGTCTGTAGTAGTTGTGTTCTGTCTGTGTAGGTGTGTTCTGACTGTAGTAGTCATGTTCTGGCTGTAGTAGTTGTGTTCTGACTGTAGTAGTTGTGTTTTGTCTATAGTAGCTGTGTTCTGGCTGTAGTAGTAGTGTTCTGACTGTAGTAGTTGTGTATTGGCTGTGTAGCTGTGTTCTGACTGTAGTTGTGTTTGTTTGTAGTACAGTAGTTGTTCTGGCTGTAGTAGTTTTGTTCTGACTGTAGTAGTGTTCTGACTGTAGTAGTGTTCTGACTGTAGTAGTGTTCTGACTGTAGTAGTTGTGTTCTGGCTGTAGTAGCTGTCACCTGGCTGTATTAGTTGTGTTCTGGCTGTAGTAGTTGTCACCTGGCTGTAGTAGTCATGTTCTGGCTGTAGTAGTCGTGTTCTGGCTATAGTAGCTGTGTTCTAGCTGTATTAGCAAGCAACTAATTTTTAGTAGCACAGCAGTTACTTGACAAGTCTATTTGATTTCAAGTGTTGTATTGCTTGCAAGGGGTGTTAAAGTGTAGCGTAGTATACATTCAAGGTTGGAGTAAGAATTATACAGTACTTCTCAATGTTAATTAGATGAGATCCCTGCTAAATTGGGAGATAGGAATTGCAACAAGCTAGACTGGAGTTTGGTGTGTCTCGGGGGAAGCACACTATGGCCTGATTTATGTCATCTTGGTTCAGTATGAAAGATTTGATTATCAACTGTGACAATGTATAGATCTTTATAATATTAACTTAATGGCCACTATCTTGAGTGGCCATTGCTGGGGGAGGAAACTGGTAGGTTTGGGAAGGTCATAGTTTTGCTAGTACAGTGCTGTATATATTTATCTGCTTCAACTTCAGCAGGTAAATGATTTCATAGGTTTATTACCTTTTAAGCATCTCCTATTGTGTGTTCTAAATTCAAGCTTATATATATAAAAATAATAATACTGTAATAATAATAATGATAATAATAATAAATAGTATTATTAATAGCTACAATGTCCTATTTCAGAGGGCTGTGGAATGTGCCATACATCAGCTCTTGTTACCTACTACGACGTTCTCTGTTTGATGATGCAGATAGGCGACCCACCTTCATTAAGAATCTTCTCGACCCCGACATGGCTTTATGTGAAAACCTCCGAGAGAAGGTATTTTTTGTCAATACTGTATTTTTCTTGATACAGTAATTGTCAAATATATAAATGTATACATTAGTTGTATTTCATTGTATACATATATGCAGTGTACTGCATTATATTTTTATGAGGATGCTGATCACAGCATTTTGGGCAATCTTAAAACTGACAGTATAGACATTTGTTAAAAGTTGAACTATTAACATAGTATTACTAATATTGAGGAAAGTTCAAGAGAAGTAAAGTGTTTATACTATGGAATATAAGCTTCAGTTTATAATTAACAGATACAATATGTAGCTACAAATTTTTAAAAATAACCTTAGAACTACAGTAATATAAATGTTGATAAGTAGGAGACTAGTTGCAATAGTATATTTACAGTATTTTGAAGCTAAATATCAAGCATGGAACACAATGAAACGCCTCATTCTGGTGGGTCACTCATTAGTTTCTTGAGCATATTGCCCTGTGGGCTGCCAAACCTTAGTGAATTGCATCGTGCCTCTTGAGACCCACTCGTGCCCGCCAGGACCAGAATATGACTCTCTGTATGAGGCGAGGGAAGCTTGGGGATCAGAGACCAACCTTAAACCAAGAAAAACTCCACCAGAAAATATAAGCTCATCAAACTGAGCAATAGCTTGAAATGAAATTAGTAACTGAGGAAAAAGGGTAAACAATTGTTGCTTTTGGATAAAGAGCTCGGATGTAATACACCTGACTGACACCAGATAGCAGCCCAGGTCACCCAGGGTGCCCTCCAGTTAACTATTCATGAGCTGCTCGAACAAAGAACATTCTCCCTCCTGACCCATGGGGATGAGGGAAATGGGGCGAAGTAGGCTCCGAAGGCGCCGCTTTCAGCCTTCCAGTCAATTGAAGCCTGCAGACCCTAGGCTGCTTAGGCAACTCATCCTCCTATAATGAGAGTACTTAGAGTAACTATTTCATTAAAAGTACCAATATGTAGTGATGGACCACCATAAAGTTGACTTTTGTATTATTGAATTTGGACAAACTAGAACCTTTATTAACTGCAACATAAACATAAGATCTAACCTAACCTCTTCTAGCAATTGTAGTCTAATACATGCTATCTTAGGCCTAATATAGTATATGCATATATGTGCTATACTAGGCCTAGGAATATATAAGTTCGGTTTTTAGCTTTATCTTTACCGGACCCTTATAAAATTAATAGTACAAAAAGTGGTTTTCTGGTGTGCCAACACTACATATTGGTAGTCTGGACCAAATAGTTATTATGAGTGCTATCATTCAAGGAGGATGGGTTGGCTGAAGAGTTCATACCAATAGAGAAGACTGGCAAGCTGAACAAACTGAGGCTGGATGAACCAACGTCTCAATACCCAAAACACAATAAATCAACCTGAACTTATAATACAAATTCTTTTCAGTTTGCTGCTACACAACCATCTAGGATATTAAGGGGCTGCAAACTATGACATAAGTTTTTAAGTTACCCAGAATTTCATATAAATAAAAAGAACCTCCTAAGTAGTAGTCCTTAAATTTGCAGGGCATCTTCATGTATGTCAGCAATCGAGTAGACTTTGGTCATCTGGTAAATGCTGACAAGTTTGACACTTCACGTCTACATAATGAATTGTGGGAAATATTTGACAACCGCTGGGACTGGGAACAGCGCTATCTCCACCCTAATTACACTCATGTTCTTGCTGAGAATACCACTGTTGAAATGGTAAGTGAATGTCTATGCAGTTTCTTTCATGTTGTCTTTTCCCTTTTGCTTTCCTGCCTTTATTGCATTTTTTTGTCCTGTTTGTAATGCCTCATTGGATAGAAGACAAAAATACAACTTCTCTGGGCTATAACAGCTAAACCACAAGAGGTAGAGGCTTTTTACTTTAATTTTTGTGCTTCCTGGATGCTAATTAACAATGTAAATCAAAATAAAAAATTTTAAGACAATTTTTTTCAGCCCACCACACGGGTGTCAAATTTAACATGTACGCAGTGTGTTAAACACTTGAATTTGTTTGGTTTACAGCCTTGTCCAGATGTGTACTGGTTCCCACTCTTCAAGGAGCGCTATGCCAAGGAGATGATTGAGGCTTTTGAAGACTATGGTGGCTGGTCTGATGGCACAAATAATGTAAGCTAATATTAACTCATAAATTTTTTATAATTCTTATTTCCTTTTTATTTTATTAAGACTATCTTAGTGTGTGCAACACAATTATTTTTGTATTCTTGGAATACATGTAAATTCATATAACTAACATAATTGTGTTGCCATCACCTGCAGTATGTTACTATTAGCAACACCTGCAGTATGTTGCCATCAGCAACACCCGCAGTATGTTACTATTAGCAACACCTGCAGTATGTTGCCATCAGCAACACCCGCAGTATTTACAAGTAAACATGAGCTACATCACAACAACATTTTAGTACAGTATTATGTAACTGCCATATTGGCAAATGTTCTTCATTAATACTAGAAGATTTTGAGTCAAATTCACATAGCACAGTGGTTTGCATCCTCAGTTCACACCCAAGGAACCTGGGTTCAGTCTTTGGGTGGGACAAAAATGGTTGGGCCTCTTTTCTTTCACCTGATGCCTCTGTTCATCCAGCAGTAAACACGTACTCAGGAGTTTGGCAACTGTTATGGGTTGCTTCTTGGGGAAGGTCAGCAATTGGCTTGGGATGAGGGGACCACGACAAGCCTAAATTCAGGTTTCCTGTCCGCCAACAATGGGAATTATAGGGAACACTGATACACCGAGAAGAAATACCATTCATATAACTTTCCTCTGCTCTTAGATCCTTGGAATAGGCAGTGAATTACCTTTGACTTATGACCCAACATCAGTGAACTTATTGTTACGGTGCTGGAGATATTTGATTCTGTTAATGAGCCTATGACCTCATGGTCGTTCACCAGCCTAGGTACAAGGATGGACCTCCACAAATAGAGATGAAGAGTGTTGGTCTTGATGCAGTGTGGCAAGAGATGCTGACCAACTTGGTAGCACCAGTGGCCAAGAAGATCTTCACTGGTTATGACCGCTATGTATGGGTTATTACCGAGGATGTAATAGCATGAATACTTAAATTACAGTACAATACTGTATTGCATTTTGCTTCTTTTTATACTCTATATCCATTTTATGAATGCTTCATGGTAATGCATTGATATCTAATCATTTTATATTTATATTAAACATGATTTCCATCTTTGTACGGCATGTGGAATGAGTTTATTAATTTATGTTAATATACTGTATATACACAGTATACATATATATACAGTAATGTATATTTATTATATATATTCACAGTATACATATAATGTATATTAAGTTATTTTTCTCCACGAGGGCGAGTCCATTTGTCAATCGTGTAAAGCAGACATGGCAAGGTTGACTACTGGAGTATAGAGAAGAAGAGCTACCATCATTAACTGCATCAGTCTAAATGCTGCTACTACTAAAAATTTATTTCCCAAATTAATTTGATTGTAGCATGACTATGTTATGTGCTATCATGCTTATAAGGTCACCAGTTGTTTTTTTAATTTAGTCTATACACAATATTAAATGTTTTGAAAATACACTTATGACTGTAGCCACTCTGATTATGCTGCTTATTTTTTTCACAACATTATATGTGATCTTTGTTATCCTCCACACAACTTGACCTTTCAGTGGCACTTACAAAATCCAAACCTCAATATAAATGATCCTCTCTAAACAACCGACTGATTTTGATGTTGGATTACTGGTCAATAATTTAAATTGTCAGAGTTTATATCTAGATTTTTAATTGGCTTAATTAAAAATTAATTGGGAAATCTAGTGTGTCTTGTACAGTAATTTCCAGTAGACCATTTTCTAGGGAAGTCTCTTGTGGCTCCATGAAACTCATTGAGGTTGCTCCCAACTACTAAGTCACATCAGTTGCAGAGTTGTGTTTGGCTTACTGAGGATCAGAGCCAGAATCTGGCCCCCTTCACACAAGCACAGAGAGCGATTGATATTCTGCCACCCCACCTGAGTAGCGTCCAGAGTGCCAAAGAAGCATTACAGACCACTGCCGGGTTAAAATCTGAAGCCTCGAAAACTGCCAAATGAACTCCTGAAACAATGTAAATTAATGATCGAATCTCTCGAACTCGTTAGTACCAAACTACTGCCACTAAGGGGTGGGCAAAGAGCCTCGGCCTTCCACCAACCTTCCAAAGTCAGTTCTGTCATAGATGCACTTGGCTTTGGTCAACTGCTGTAGTGCTCCTAGGGTTGCCACCCAGTTCCATGGGTCCTGCAACTTCTAAACTAATTGCCAGCCATCCTTGGACTTTGTCCTGTTGGGGCTATTTGCTAGTTTCTGATTTTAGCATTTGTTTTATGAACGTGTTTTTCTACCAGTTTGTTGTGTGGACTTGGCTTGTTTTGCACCTTGAGCTGCATGCATTTAGAATTACTTCCCTGGGTGCTCCCTGGTACTGCCCCTGCACTGCACTGGACTTTTGTGTTGGGGAGTTTGCCCTTTTGAGGCCAGGTCACCAGGGTGGAGTACCTTATCTCAGATTGTTGAAGAGTCTTTTGGCCCCTCTGTTTAGACCCATGGTTGGGGCAAGCATTTCTGTTGATTGGGGTGCACTAGGGGTTCATGTACTGTACTTGCTTAATACGGCACACTGCAGTCAGCCTTCACACCCTGTAGTGTTGGATGTGTTTACTGACTGTTTCTTCGGTGAGCATTCCCAGTGGCTGGGTGCCCTGTTTGGTAATACCACAGTCCTTGGTAATCTCGTGGTGATTTCGGTACGATTCCAAATGGCCCTTCATACCGAATCTGCACTTGCTATTTGCAAGTTTGAGGGGTGTTTGTCAGCTGTGCCATGAGACAATAAGCATTCTTCTGCCTCTGTCATGCTGCCTGTTGAGTTGGTGATGGCTATGATACTGATTTCTATGGCATGTATTTCCCTACATGTGCCTTTTTTTTCCCCCATACCTCCTCCTGAAGTAGAAGCGTGTCAGGCAACTGCTGCTTTGCAGATTAGTTTTGCCCATCTTCAGCGTTTGCAGCTTTGGGCCTCTTTGGATACCCTGGAGTTGGATATCTAATGTATAGGAACATGGAATAGTTGTTGGTGACATCCACCTTTATTCCATCCATGCCTCCTCTTCTTTCCCTTCAGGGGTAGTGCACCCAGCTTATGTTTCTTCCCCTCCATCTGCCTCTGGCTTTGGAATATCTCAGAAATTTGGAGTTGGGTTTAGCTTAGATTGTGACTTGGCCTTTCCCTGGGTGGCTCCTTTCTACTCAGGTGTGGAGGCAGTCAAGCCATTTGGTCCTGCCAAGGTTTCAGTTTTCATTCCATTCTTTACCCCAAACCATCTCTTTTTGGAGTCTGTCCTTTCTTTCCCAGGCATTGGGAGAGGACTTCGACTCTGTCCCAGAACCTTCTCGATAGGTTGCCAAGGTTGGAGAGGAGTCCAATAAGGGTCCTGGGGATCCTTTCAACCCGTCTTTGTCCTTTGTTCTCTCTAAGGAGGATCTGTTGCTTCAGGGAGGGAAGGGTTCTCATACCTCCCCCTTCTTTTTACAATTTTTATTTTACTGCAGCTCTCCCCAAGATTTGTTTCCAGGTACCATACAGTCCTATGGATTTGTCTTTCTGGAGGTTTCCTTCCTGTTGAGTCCCCTCTTTCGGTGGCTCTTTAGGTACCTCTGCAGGATCAGAGTCCTATCTTTCTGATGGAACTTACTTTTGTTTAGGTCTTTTGAGAATCTCAAATTCTAGTTTGTCTTTAGGAATCTAGGGGCCAGATTCACGAAGCAGTTATGCAAGTACTTATGAACATGTACATCTTTCCTCAGACTTTGACGGCTTTGGTTACATTTATTTAACAGTTTACAAGCATGAAAACTTCCCAATCAACTATTGTTATTGTTATAAACAGCCTCCTGGTGCTTTGGAGCTCAGAACTGTTTAATAATTATAAACAAAGCCGCCAAAGATTGAAGAAAAGACAGGATCGTAAGTGCTTGTGTAACTGCTTCGTAAATCTGGCCCTAGGTCTTTAGGAACTTTTGAGTTTAGGTCTTCATTACCTTATTGGCTGCATGAGGTTATGGATTCTTCCTTGGGGAACTGAATGCTGTATGTAGCTCATATTCTTGGTTCTCTGGGTTTGATTCTCTATGCCATTTATGTTTATGGAGTGTCCCATGTTCTCATGGATGAGCTCTCTCATTTCTGTCCCACCTCTGCAGAGTGGACCATAGATGATGTGTCCTTTCCGTGGCTTTGTAAGATGTTTTGATACCCCAATGTAGGCCTCTTGTGTCTGCGTGGAATTGGCAACTTCCCTCCACTGGACACAAGTGGAGGGAAGTTGCACGTCGACACAAGAGACCTACATCAGAGTACCAGAACATCTCACAAAGCCATCAGAAGGACACATCATCTGTTCCCCAGTCGTGAGGCTCTTGCGATGGGTGCCTTCTGTTGGACTATTTGAGGTAATGGTTCCTTTAGCTTTGCCCCCAGTTCAGCTCTTACTCCAGGTTCTTGCCAGATTGGAGCCTTGCAAAGGGAAGGGGTTCTTCTGGTTCCTTGGTGGTGGGCTCAGTCTTGGTTTCCAGTTCTTTTTGTCTGAGCCCCGGGCTCAACCTGGGGCTCAGACATATTTTTTTCTGTAGCTCTGCCTCTTTCAGGAGATCGATCAATCCAGGGAATATACCTTGCTTGTTCGAATTTCTTCTCGGCTCTTTGAGTCGGACTTTCTGACACAACTCTATTGCCACTTCTACAGTGAGCCGATGGCTAGGTTAATAGTGTCCCACCTGAGTTTGTCCTCGAGGCAGCAGTAGGAAGTCACTTGGCACTCATTTTGCCTCTTTCTATCCCTCTGTCAAATTTCTTTTGTTTCTTTTCCAGGTTTTGCTTTTCATTTTGTCTTGGTTATCTTTTTTACCATCATCTCGTGCCTAATACTGTTGCCTCTTATCATTCGACATTGGCGGCACTGCTATTGCTTACATTCGGAGCCAATATTGCTTCAGTTGTCTCTTGCTTTGTTTCACCTCCAGCCTACTCATGCTCCACCTGAGTCAACCTAGTCTCTGGACTGTGTCCTCGCTTTCCTTTCCTCTTGTTGGTATATGGTTCCCCTTCAGTCCAGGATTCTGTTTTTTGGAGGCAGCTTTTTTGTTTGCTCTCACTTCCAGGTTTCGAGTTGGGGAATTCCATGCACTTCTCTGGAGGTGAGGTTTCTGATTTTTTGGCTTTAGTGAGCATTTCATTCATTTGCAGCCTGCTTTTGTGGTGAAGAATTAGTTGGCAGACTTCTAGATGGGTCCTTTGATTATTAATGCTTGGTTGATTCGGCTGGGGGTGCAACATTTGTTGTGTCCAGTGGCGGCTCTTCACTGGTACCTTCGTGCCACCGATTCTGCCTCAATTCAGTCTGCCCGAAACGCTGCGCGTGCTAGTGACTTTACAAGACTGTAATTACCATATTTGTATCCTCACATTCCTTATGTACATTCTTGTATATGCATAAATAAATAATAAATAAATAAATAAATTGATGCTTTGTGGGTTGACCCTGTTTCCTTCGACCCATGTTGCATAGCTTGCATATCTGAGGTTGTCTACAGTATTGTTAAATCTAGCCAGCTTGCAGTCTACACTTCTATGATGATGTTCTGATATATGCTGCACTTGCGGCAATCTGTTCCGACATGTCCTGGGCTGGTATTGGGGAATGAGGGTTTCAGGTTTAACAGGGGTCTTGGTGGCTTGGTATTTGGTCAATATTCCTGGGCCTCGTCATTCCTGTGTTTCCTTGGGCCGTGTCTCGGCCAGTTGTCTCTCCTTCGCCATAATGCCTGCCATCTCTCCTCCCTAGTATGTCCCATGGGTTTCTTCTCTCTCTAATTAGTTAGCTTCAGGAAGCGACAAAGGGCTCCTCCAAAAAATCTGCATTGAATATAATGAAATGCCTCTTTCTGAATGAGGCTTGGTGGTTCCCTGCCTCCCTACCAGGATTGTCAGTTGGTGGTTGTGGGTTTTCACTTCTGCTCCAGAAGTGACTTTGGAAGGTTGAGGGAGGGCTGGGGCTCTGGGCTCTCCTGTAGTGGTGGTTTGGTACTAACGAGTTCGAGCTAGTTTCAAGATTTTTAATCGTTTGTTTATATTGTTGGGGAAATTTATTTGGCAATTTACAAGGCTTCAATAATGGTTTGATATGCTTTGTTGACACTCTGGATGCTATCCCAGTAGGCTGGCAGAATCTCACTCACTCTCAGTGCCTCTGTGAGAGCACAAGGTTCTGGTCCCCGGTAGGCCAAATAGAACTCTGTGACTGATGTGATCGAATACCTGAGAGTAATCTCAGCGAGATAGCTTTAGGAAGTCACCGAGGCTCATCCAGAAAAATGAATTTCATTACATTCAAAGCTGTTTTTTATCATTTGTCTTTTAATAGTACAGTAATTATGTACTGGCAGTCTTACTCAAGGGTTTCTCAGCTTTTTTCTTTTGATATTAATCAGTTGTGATTAGAAAACCCAGTGGGCACTGTTGGTTGAAAGCAACTAGTATTACATACCATTTAGTATGTAATATCGGTCAGCTTCAATAAGCGGTGCCCACTGGCAAGTTGTCTGCCAGCAAGAGTAGTTTTGCTAGAACATTGATGAGAAAAAAAAGAGGTACTATAACCTGGACAGCCGAAGTGCTTAAACTGATGCTGAAAGTAATGAAGGCTGGGAGGGAGAAGCTGCTACAGGTAGTAGAATGTGGTGATCATTTCATGTCCTGCCTCTCATTATTCATGAACGGTTATTAATAAGACAATTCTGGTGGCAGGGGATGAGAGAATATTTTTGTTATTTAAGTATTAATTAGTTTGATCAAGCATTTTACATTGTTAGCTCAAGAAACAGATAAAAAAAATTACTTGCTGTAAATCATAGGAGTGAATTTGGATTGTCACCACGAAATGTTAACAAATCGGAATTTAAATCCAAATTGTAGAAAGATAATCTGTTAAAAAATTTGTTCATTACTGTATTTGGATATACTGTACTGTATTATAAAGAGGTACAGATTTTGAAAGTTGCACTGTGTTATACAGTATTATGATTGCATAGCATATAAGGAGGATCTGTAGCACAGTGGTCATTGCAGTCACTTCACAACCTAAAAGGTAGTTATGATTACTGTACATAGAAACTAAACTACCTACCTAAAGGTAGGTAGTTATGATTACTGTAAATAAAAACCTGGAAGTTGGGCAACTGGTTGCATTTTAATGAAGGTCAGTAGGTGGTGCCCATAGTGGGTCTATGGGCACCTAGAAAAGCCTAGCAAGCTTCTTGTCCGCAATAAAGGTTAACCAAGTTCAATTATTGGGAACCAATTCTGTATACACACCAAAGCAATTCTAGAAACAAATGATCATTAGAACAAAAATCATCGTGACTAACCACACTGACTATGTTACAATCTCCATGATGTAATCTATTTTTCCATGTATCTCACACTGTACATGTACAGCTTGTGATCCTTCCTATATTTATCTGGTAGGATCCCCGACTAGAGGGTGGGTATGAGTCGGTTCCCACCATTGATATCCACATGAAGCAGATGGGTATGGAAGAAGTGTGGCTTGAGGTCTTGCGAGTATACATGCAGCCTATGCAGCTCAAGATCTTCGAGGGATATAACAACGATGTAGGAGTGAGGAGTCGTTCCTGATGGTGGTGGGAGCTGTACTTAATTTACAGGTGGTGGTGTTGGCTAGTTAGTTATCATAAAGATGGTATGGTGATGGTGGTGTACTAGTTGGCTTGTTTGTGGGTGGTGGTGGTGGTGGTGGTGGTGGTAGTGGCTTATTTACTGATAAAGGGCTGGAGGTGGGTAGATGGAAAGGTTACGGTAATAAGTAATCTAAATTTAGTGATGTGCTTAAATTAAATAATGTTGATTTTATTTTAATGATACTGTAGATGAAGTTACTATAGCAATTTACACACAGAAATCACAATAGTGTGATGCATCAAATGAACAAATCCACAAGGGCCGTGACAAGGGTTCGAACCTACGTCCGAGAGCATCCCAGATGCTGCCTTAATCGTCTGAGCTATGACATGGAAAAGAATTGCAACCGGAAGTTCTACTGGCTTTACTCGGATCCTGCAGCCTCTCCAAGACACAAACCAGGGTTTTACACAATTCCCCCTATGCACCCGAGCTCTGTCAATAAGCTGTTCTACCTCTTTGGCCTTACTTTATTACACACAAATCAGAATAGCAAGAGGCATCAAATGAACAAATCCATAAGGGCCGTAACAAGGGTTTGAACCTACGTCCGAGAGGATCTCAGACGCTGCCTTTATCGACTGAGCTACGACATGGAAAAGAATTGGAATTGTGTAAAATCCTGGTTTGTATCTCGGAGAGACTGCAGGATCTGAGTAAGATCAGTAGAACTTCCGGTAGCGATTCTTTTCCATGTCATAGCTCGGTCAATTAAGGCAGCGTCTGGGATCCTCTCGGACGTAGTTTCGAACCCTCGTCACGGCCCTTGTGGATTTGTTCATACTATAGCAATTATATATGAACTTGTGCTTATTACAGGTTCAGTAGCAAGATGATGTTTCCATGATGACTGAATAAATGGTGTATATAACTGAAAATCACTGTGCAGATCCTAATACTGTACTGCAGAGTTGATAACATTACAACTACAGACAATTGGTTCCTGATGGGCATAGTAGTGATGGTAATCATTTAGCAATTGGTGACTCTACTGATCTATGTACATATTCTTTCCTCTTTCAAAAATAACAAGTAATTTTATATTTCTAGCACATCTCATGTGATACAAATTAATGCAATTTTTAGTGAAACAAAATGAATGAGACCTTCTTAGCCCTTCCACTGCACAACACAGTTGGGAAAGCTTTCAAGTACTACATAAGATTTAAAACTCCTGTGTGGATAGGGGCTTGTATCTGCCTCCTCGGGCCTCCGGCAAACAAAAATCATCTTGGAAAAAAATTGTGGGCAGGAGGCCTAGTCAGACTGGGTGCAGGGATGTTGATTCCCAAAATCAATGCAAGGCCTCCTGGGTGTGAGGGGCCTCACTACTTAGACAGCAACTATGAGTAGCACATGCAGCAGCAGTTCACCTCACTGCCATGCAGCTCATTCCCACAGTATCATTAAATAATGATGAATAAATAAATAACTGATTATTTAATGATGATGGTGTCATAGAGGACCCTGACTGTGATAAAAACTATGTTTTTAGGTGATGTTTGTCCTTCAGTTCAGGTGATGTTCGTCCTTCGGATGCGAACATAATCATGACTTCAATATACAGTATCAGGTTGAAGATCGGTGGCTGTGTGTCAGATGATGGGGGATGAGACCAATCCTGAGCCGCCTGTGTGCAGGTCTGTGACTACAGCTTCCAGTGTATCCACACCTGCTGCTTCGCCACTGCCCATTGCTACAGGACATGAGGTTGCGCGGTATGGGATGAAGTCATGACTTACGCTTGATTTGGATTAAGTGAGGGAGAGTTGCACAAATCGTCAGCCTCACTCTCTCGTCCCGGCCTATCTGAGTCCAGCAGCAAGACAAGTTGAGATGGCAGGAGATAAGTGAGGATGCAGTGGATGGCCAGCATTGTTCTGTGTGTTTCACTGCACCCTAGTTGCACTTCACAACGCTTTGCTGGTCCGATTTAGCTGCCCATTGAATAATTCTAATGGTTTCCTCCTCGCAGTCTGCCGGGTCCAGTCTTCGCATGCATAGGTAGACAAGTTCACCGAAAGTCTCAAATCTTCTGCTACCCCTCACCTGGTTTTACCTGCCAATTGAAGCAGTTTACCAGAGTGTGGCTGCTGTTGCATGCAAACAGCTACTAGGAGCCACAGGTGAGAGTTGAGTGCAGGTGGGGATCAAAGCAGACAAACCTCTTGAAGGTGTGACTGAATGTTCATTTCAGAGGTACTACCCCTCACTGATACCTAGGCACCCCCGCAAGGTTGTAGGTAGTTGTAGATTGTAGTTCACAGACTGAGTGAACTACACAGGTGAACCCAATGCTGGTTACAATGTTCACAGGCCAAGGCAGACATCTACAGCACACAATCTCAGTTTGGTGTGTGTAGCCATCATGGAAAGGGACTTCATGTACCTTTAGAAAATAAACCTGTGAAAAAGATTCATATTCAGGATTTAGTGACCAGGATTCTGATAATAATAGCAGTGTTGTGGTAGAGTTAGCAATATGTGAGTATAACTATGACATGCCATTTTTAATATTTAGGTCAGAGTAGGAATGGGAATAAGGAATGTGGGAATCTTGGAATTTCAGGAATTTCTTGTAAAATTTTGGAATAAGGGCAGGAATGATGGGGGAAGTGGGAATGAGTATGAGAATGGCTGCTACCTACAAGCCTGCAATATTGTGAGGGCAGGCAAGCGGTCAGAGGTAATTAATATAATATGAGGGATGAGGAGAACAAGTGCCACTGAAGCACCTGCATAGACACCTGTGTGCACTAAACTACTTGTACATTTGTACGTGTCTGTATGTGCTTTAGGTTGTGGGTTCCAATTGAATCCACGTATTTCAAAGCAGTTCCTAAAATCTATTATAGTAATTCATACTATTTCCAGTGTACCTATGGTTGGCATATTTTTTTTTAATTTTATTTATACTGTATATTCAAAAATTCTTAACATTCTTGTAAAGCCACTAGCATGCAAAGCATTTTGGGCTGGTCCTTAATCTGAATTTTCCCTTGAATATGACCCACCAAATTGTTTAACAACCAGGTACCTATTCACTGCTGGGTGAACAGAGGCGTACAGTTAAGGATTGGTGCACGGTCAATCCTCTCTGACCAGGATATATGAATGCGGGCCAAATCACTCACGAAGCACTGGGTGAGTGTGTTACCACCGTGCCACAGGGACTGCTTGTGGTATCACATTGTGATACCAAGTAACATTGTTGGCACCCCACTACATCATTGCACTTGAAAACATGGTAAAAACATTAAAAATACAAAGAAAATATATTCAATACATGCAGTTACAACTTTATGTAAAACTTGCAGGGCTAGGGTTGAACTGATAAATGGTTACAAAATTATTACACCCATCAGAACTGCTTAGTGGTTGGTAATTGTGCAATAAAATGTAGTTATACATAAGGTGTGTATACAGTGATAACAGCAAAAAACAATGTTTTATTGTTCTAAGAATATACAGTAATATGGTGTGCATATTGGTGACACTAATATACAGTATTTAAGTATATCAACATTCCACAGGGTTTAAAATTTCTCAAATGACACAATATTAAATACTACTATTACTGCAAAAATCCAGAGAAAAACAAATCAATGATGTTGAAACGTAAACAAATATCTTTGCAGTAACGTCCTCCACACACCTGGCCCAGGGCAACCACCACTAGGCGATTGCTGCATAAATGCTCATGAATCATAACGTAATTGAGAGATTTCGTAGCTTCACCACGGCCAAAATAAGCCACATAAAATTTAATATTCCCTCCCCCCTTCCCGTGATCAGAGAATACATTTTAACAATATTACAGTAGTTGGATTTTTTTTTTTTTTGTATTTTCTTGTGCACCAGGGTGATGTCTCCTACAAACGGGTGCAGCCGAAGGGTTAAGTAAACAAAATAGATTTGCATGTATAGCTCAATATTTTTAGTCTTGTTTAATAGCATATAATAATTGCATGGTTGGTGATGTTCCAAGCAGCACCTCCATTTTTTTTATTTGCGAGGATATTTCATGGAACACATCACGTTGCCTGGTGAGGATGTTCCGTGAACACCTCACTTTGCTTGCTGAGGATGTACTGTGGAATACCTCACTTTGCTTGCTGAGGATGTTCCATGGAACACCTCACATTGCTTGCTGAGGATGTTCCATGGAACACCCCACATTTCTTGCTGAGGATGTCCCCATGGAACACCTCACATTGCTTTTCATTAACCCAAAGGTAAGTTAAAGCACCAAACAATGTTGCCAGTTGCCTCAAGCACATAAATATAAAGCCTGTACTAATTACACCAGTATTATGAACGATGAATATTTAACTATAGCATGCAAAGATAGTTTATACTGTATATACTGTATTTCAATTTAATAATTTTTTTTGATAAAGACAACCAGTGCTGCTATTATAGTTGCCATATTTGTTAAATAAAAGATTAGCTGTATAATTTGTGCTTTGTTCATATCTCCTCATGATGTTTTCCAACAGCCCCCTCGTGCTATCATGAACTTCATGGTTCGTTACAAACCCGATGAGCAGCCTTTCCTCAGGCCGCACCACGATACCTCCACCTACACAATCAACGTTGCACTCAATAAACCAAAAGTTGACTTTGAGGTAAGCTTGAATGTTTCTACATGCTTGGCCAAAAAAAAAAAAAAAAAAAAAGAGCAGAATTCTTTTATTAGTTTGAAAACTTTTATTTGAAAACTGCGAGTATGTAAACCTTGCATTGGCAATTTGAAAAATTTGTGAATTACCTTAACTCAATAGACTTAAGTTTTTGTTTCAACTTTTCCTGGAAAAAAATAATCATGTCTTGATTTTGAATATTTATTTTAAATTTCTGTATCTCCCATGCCTTGTATAATCAAGACTATTTTGGTTTACCTTGGTGCAAATGTTATTTGGAATTGCCTCATTTCATTAGTCAAATAATCACATACAAGGCAATAATGCCATCGATTGGATTTCATTCTCATCTGATATCAATGCCATTTGAAAAATTACTGCATGTCTATTGTGGTGAAAGATGTAATTGCTAATTAAGTAAATTAATGTACAATATATTCTCTGTGAAAGTGATTTGGAACTTAAGAGTATTTATCACATAGAATCATAACCGTTTTAATTTTCTGTAATTCAGGGTGGTGGTTGTAGATTTGTGAGGTACAACTGCTCTGTCACCGATTCTCGAGTGGGATGGGTATTAATGCATCCTGGACGCCTCACTCATTTACACGAAGGTCTCCGCGTAACGAAAGGAACAAGATATATTATTGTCTCGTTTGTTGATCCTTAAATACAAATTGCATACTTGGTCAGTAACTTTATGTCCAACTTAAGCCAAACAAATTAATTAGCAAATACTGTAATGTACGTACTGTATACAGTATGTGCACCATGTATGTAACATACCAGACTTTCTCCCAGTTTCATTGTGGTTGTTCATTTGTATTAGTGTTAAATTATTTCTGGGGGAGTCGTCTCTTTTTAGTTTTCCGAGCTAAGTTGGGTACCGCCAAGTCCAACCTACCAACCCTCTTAGAACCATCCATCACCTCCAGGAGGTGGGACCAGATGTTAGCTCACTCTATGAATTCAGCTTTCGTCACACATTCTGGTTGCCACCTGTGTCCCAGGACTGCCAGGTGTTTTCAAGCATATCTTGGTTTGTTTCTCTATCTTGGAGATTCCTCTAGACTCATTTCTCTGAGTCTCTGGGATGCCTCTTGGCCTGCCGTGTTCCTTCCTGAGGTTAGGGTTTGGAGTGTGACACCTCTCGTATCACTTTGGGGTACCATGTCTTAATGGGTACAACATTTGTACCCATTAATAATATACTTCATTTATACATTATTAATATGACAGCCCATCCTCCTGTTTTGGTAGTGCTTATAGTAACAATGAGGACCATAGTATATATACTCGTTTGGGGCAGAAGGCCCCTGCCTTGCCTCCCTCGCACCCCGATTGCATCCCCACCTTCCTCCCCCTCCCTCCCTCGCCTGCCTCCTTCGCCTGCTTTCTTCTCTGCCTCCTTCGCCTGCTTTCTTCTCTGCCTCCCTGCCTGCCTCCCTTGCTCCCTGGGCTGCAAGAGTTATGAGAAGTGGTGTACAACGAGTGTTAGGCCGGGCGTTTAACTTATTTTTCTTTCAGTGGTAAAGATTCACATTTCATATTCAATGGATAAGTTGACCCCTGGTTTTGGAGAGAGATTTTTAGGCTTCAAATGTTGACTTATATGCTGGCATATACAGTACTTGTACCTGTATCTTCATTCTGGCCAACCTTAGTAACTGGCTACTTTATTTGTTTGCCAGAGTTTTGAATCTTTTCTAATTTGACTCATTGCTTCAGGTTCAGGCTGGACTGGGCCTGATTTAGATTGCCAGGCACGGGGCGTGCCTGACAATCTAGACCAACCAATCTACCCCATTCCTCTCTCTCCATCCCCCTTTCATTAGTACTGTAGGGGCTGTGCTTCAGAGCTGTGGCTGGTGCTCGGGTGATCTTAGCTCTGCCATCAGGTTCTCATGTCACCTTTGGGTGGCCTGACCATCACCTGCATGGTGTTCCCCACTGGGCTACAGCTAGTTGAGGGCACTTTCCTGTTTTCTCCAGTGACATTTTCTCACCACTACAGTACTAGAGCTGTTAGTGCATGCCATATTTTATATATGGTAGAAGATGTGTAATTTATTTCCTTGAAGACGAGTAATTTTGAGTGTTTTTTGGGGGTTGGGTACCATGATGCTCTCCTTATTTGTGGTCAGGATATTTTTTTGGCTTCGAAGTTGGAACTTTGAACTTTGCGGTGTCTGTCCACAACCACACCTCACTGCAAATAATTGCAGTGAGGGATTTGCAGAGGCCACAATGACACATGCATCTATCTTACCTGGGACTTTGCGTAGGCTTCCCACCATTCTTCTTTTTGGCATCTGTCCTTTTGTTGCTAGGCATTGGTGTAGCTCTTGTTACTTGGCCAGTTGCTGCATCAACTGTTCTCTCCTCTTGGTTGGCTTTGCAGAACCTCTCTCACTGGTGTTTGGGAAGGAGAGGGTGTCCTAGCCTTTTTCTCTGGCTGACTTGGGCTTCCTTTGATCTCCAACCAGGGGGCTTTTTACATGCTCTGTTCACTGGCCGCAGGTGAGCATTTTGACGCACTCCTTGCACTGTTGATCTCGAGAGTCCCTGCTCTCTCTACTCAGTGGAATGGGCTAGATTCTAGTCCTGACTCCTGGTAGGCAACAGATGGGTCTCGGAGGCATGGTAGGTTGGGTTGAAGTGTGTTGGAACAACACCCAGAGTTAAGCTTGGGGAACTGCGAGGGGCACACCAGAAAATGGCATTTTATTGCATTCAATACCATAGTGTGAACTTTTATTGCTAAATTAAAATAAAATTAAGATGTCTTTACAGTATTGTTGTGGAAATGTACATTAATTAAGGTTGTTATTACACTTTGTTGTTCCTTTATCATGTATAATATTTATAATAAAACTAAAAAAATGTGAAAAACCTTAGTAATTACCCAAGGATAGTTACAGGATGAAAGCTATGCTTGTGATGTCCCATCTTCCCAGCACTCTTTGTTGTATAATACTTTGAAATTACTGACGGTTTTGGCCTCCACCACCTTCTCACCTAACTTGTTCCAACCATCAACCACTCTGTTGTGTCTTACCTTTATTAAAAGATACTTTATTAAAAGTGAATGGAATCTATTAAAAATACCACAGATCAAGCTCCATTATTTCAAAGCTAAGCAAGCATTGCAGAAGCTGGAAATCAATCCAGTTGTTTAACATATGTGAACAGTTCTTGCTAGAAGGTTATTCAGGTCATCAAGTAGCTTAAATAATTTATCTTTATATTACACAAGCATCCAAATCATTTAAGTGCCATATTTCCAAAAATTTGAAGGTCCCGGTAGTACAGTCGGGTAGTTCTGTCCTGCCCGGGACAGAAATAGTTGGCCGGATTTTCTATCACTTAATTCTCCTATTAACCTAGCAGGAAGTAGGTACTCTGGAGTTAGCTTGTTGTGGGGTTGCATTCTGGGTGGGGTCAGTAATTTAACCTTGGGGAGGGGGGGGGGGGACCTCATATAAAAATAATAAAAATAAAATGTTTATTTAGGTAAGGTACATACATACAATAAATTTTTACAAAGATTGGTTGACTTATAGGTAGAGCTAGTACATACAATGCCTAAAGCCACTATTACGCAAAGCGTTTCGGGCATAAATATGACATAAGCTTAACGCGTATGAATACACTGGCTGCCAATCCCCCCCAACACAATGAATTATTATTATTGCTATTATTTTAAGATATTAATTCTTTGATGAGGAATGACATACAGTATATGTATATATAATATGGAATGATATTTAGTGAATACAGTGTAATTTGATTATCTGATTATCAAATACCACATTATATTAAAAAGTTTATAGAGGGCTTAAAGTACAGTGGTGAAAAGTAATTACCGGTATTTTTAAGTTGTACAATTATCATATTGTTTTATAGGAAAAATTATAAGTATCAGATTATTTAGTTACAAATACCAATGAAATTTAATTATATAGTGTAATGATATATAGGTACATTACCTATATGTAATTATTTTAAACACAGTAACATCTCTATTATACAAAATGACTGGGGCTGGACCCTAGTGGTCAATATTAACAAAATGACTTCAAGTCCAATGTCTAATACTGTACTGTTATTCATAGCAATTGCAGTGAAAGAAGTTAGTTACTAGCTTTCTTTATAATTAAAGTTGTGCAGATAAATTATTAAAGGTAATGACAAACATCCACCGAGGTCTTATTAAGACCGTATGTGCTACTGGAACCACTTACCTGCTGAAGCCATAAATGTTAAAACTGTTGAATTTTAAAACCCAGCTAAAAAAAAAAAAACAAGACAAATTAGCGGTGCCTTTGAGAAGCCACCAGCTTCCTGTCCATGTTGAGGCCACTAGTGTGTTAGTGAACCTCAGGTAAATTCTGGTAAATTCAGGTAAAATGCTCACAGATTGAGTACAGAGTACAGAATAAACTAGCCACTGCATACAGTTATTAAAAAAAAAAAATTACAGCCAAAAATCTGTTTTGCCAAGTACAGTACAAATAATGTAGTACTTGTACATACATTCACTATTTGGCATCAAAATTACATTAAAAAGCAACTTTTTAATATTTTTATGTTAATGTGATTTTGATGCTAAATGGTGAATATATTATATTGTTTATACTGTGCTGTATTAATAAAAAAAAAGGACAACCTTATTTTATTCTTGCTGCCAGCAGTGGCTAGTTTATACTCCATACTCATCCTGTGAGCAGTAGTGCAACAGGATTACAACAAGACTACAGGGATACAGAGGGATCACTCACCAAGTTGCACCCACTATGAGGAGTGGGATGACGCTGGGAGTTCTTACGACAGCCTCTTCTTACCACAGATTGCAAGACTCGCTTGCCTACAGCTATACTGGAAACGGCTTGGTCACCTGCAGCAATCACTACTAGCAGGGTACATGAACTTCTGTGCTTAGCCAACAAAAAGGTACTTCATAAACAAGGTTGCCAATTTGGGAGGCTCACCTTTACTTGACAAATATCTGTGGGGGGAAGGCTACATACCCCCTAATATTCTTTCCATTGCACCTCTCTTCACACTATAAAATAAACCATTTCTCTCCTACAGTAGTTATGTCTCAGCACAGTGTAAATGTGTATATTCAGTTCAGTGCCTTAGGCCAATGGACAGCAAATGGAGAGTGGATGACATAAAACACTAAAATAAAAATATAAACATTTAATAAAAGATGTACTGATGAAATAAGGAAAGTAAACAAAATAATGTGTGGATCCCTGGCAACATTCATGAAATATTGTGCCATCTCCAACACCGCCCAACACTAGCCTGAACTGGAATTTATTGGTTACTTATTCGAACAAAATTACTCAAACTTATCATTTCTCATCATGTGATTTAGAATAACTTGCCAAACAGTTGGTGTTACATAGCCTCCCTGACTTGGTGTCTTCTTCTGATAATTACTTACTTACTTGCCAAATAGTTATGTGAGCTCTAAACAAATAAATTACTCAACTCTGATTAATGAACACTAACAACTGAAAAGTAATGATTGCACATATTAGGCTCTTTTGGCCTGCAATTCTTACATGATCCAAAATTACATTAAAACTATCTCTTAAATACCTGTAGTTGCCTTTACTTTACAGTCAGTATTAGTCTTCAAAATATAAATATAAATGCACATGTGTTTAAACAACTTCAGAGCTATAACAGTAATTGATAATCAACAGTTGTAAATATCTTCCTTGGAAAAGCCCAGCACAAAAGGAGGAGGTAGGGGTTTATAATCTACCTTATAAAACTGGCCAACTGTGTTCTCGAGTTCTGTTGTTTGCTTCTGCTGTCAGGTGATCAGTTGCTCACCTCCCTTTTAGTCTGTTCCTCTTTGATATCCTCTTGTCCGTGCCTCAATGGTTGATCTTCTTGACCTCGTCCTCACGAAATTGATTGACTGCTCACACTACAATCACATTCCCCCAGTTACTGAAAGTTCTCTCTATGATGCCAGTTGCATCACAGCCTTTCACTACTTCCTTGCATGAATCACAAAGGCAAGGAGAGAATCCTAACTCTCCATGGTACTCTTCACTTCACCCTGGGTGCCCACTTCTCCCAACTGAAGTTTGCTTGCAGCTTCAGGCCCTTCTTGGAGTTACAGGGGTCCCAGATACCTGGTACTCCCATGCTGGCCCACTGGTCAGCATGAGAGTACCTGGATGTGGCAGTCCTGGATGGCAGGACTGCCACTTGGTGTTCACACTGCTAACCTGTGCTTTCTTGCTGCCACTGAATGTTGACTGGTATTGCACACTACTCTCGCCCGGTTGCACAGAGGATGAGGAAGACTGCGAGAGAGCCGTCACCCAGCCCCTCAGCCTAATTTTGAAACACACAGATGATCACTGTGAATCTGAGTTGCTCTTATCTCCAGCCTGCAGACCTGGTCCTCAGAACTTACCCAGAAAGCTTTGCAGTGTCACTCCTAAGGTTGCTCTTGAATATGTCTAACATGTCATAACCAAGAAAATTTAAAATTTGTTGGAGCTGCAGTCAGCATTCATCATATGATGAGACAGAGTGTAATAACACCCGCCCACAATTGTATGCGCCACTTAGGTGCTTCCGACTCATCATGTGATCTTAGGTCACTTCTGCCAACGTGTGACCAATAGCCTCTCTTCCGTCTTGGAATTTCCGTGTTGCTGTCCCTCGCTAATTCCCGGTGGGAACACTCTACAAGTGCCGGTGGTGTTCATCATCTTTGTCAAAAGATGGGAAAAGAAGGATGGGTAACTATAAAATAAAAGGGTCCTGGTAGTACAGCTGGGTTTCATTCTCGAGTCTCAATTAATAATTCAAAGTACTGTACTGTACAAGGTACATGTAATTCAATCCCTGGGCAGGACAGAAATGATTGGGCACATAATACCCTTGTAAACCTAGCAGTTATAGATACCCAGGAGTTAGTCAGTGTATTGTGGGGTTGCATCCTGGGGACAGTCAGTGATTTGACCCTGTGCAAGGGACCTAGATATAAGCCTAACATATATTGTATGTATAAACTGGTTGCCTGTCCCCCGACAATTATTAAATTATTTAAAAACTTTGCCTTTTTGCCAACAGAAAATTAAAAAAAGAAAAAATATCAAAATTAGGCTTCTTGCCTACCTCTAAGCATAATAAGTCTTAAACAGTTCTACCTATATACAGAATGAGTATGACTTCACAAATGAGAAGAGGTGTGTCAGGCAATGGTAACCTTAACAGTTGACAATCACCCATTGAAATACCAATACCAAACACTGGCATTTCTCTATGTGGCTTTACTGTGCCACAGACTCGTGTCTTACGTTTAAGCAGGAATATAGTAAGGGGCTTATATAATAACTGTCAGTGTACAGAATATGCCCCTTGTTCATCAGTGGTTCCACGAGCGTCTTTACCACACTGCCAGAAAACCCGTGAGGATCTTGACCAGGTGTGTCTATGTCGGTACCGGAATATTATATCTATCACTATTCCGGTTTCACAATCACACAGCACAAAGAATTTCAGTCCAAACCTACTGTATGCCTTTTCAGTGCGATATATATATTGCTTGAAAGCAATATATATATGTTCTTTGAAAAGAATGATTCTAGAATCACTACATTCTGCCCTGATACAAAAAATCTCGGATCTTTTCTCTTGCATCATGGAACACTTTCTTCACTCTCCACAGTTTATCATTTCTACCTACATTATCATTATTCTCGAAGTGTAGGCACCTTAGAAGTAGCAGGAACCTGTGATTTTGTATGTATGCTTTATTGAAGAAAAGTAAATGGTTAGAAAATTGATTGGTTACAAAAAATAAGCTCATACATACCATTTGTGTTTCTTAGATGCTGTAGAGCTCCTCA